CACAAAGCAGGAGAGGGGCTGGGAATTATGTTTTCAAACAAAGCGTTAATTCCATTAACATTTATAGACTACTTTTGATTCTCACTGTATTACGGGACAAAGTGCGTCCCTTTTTAGCTCAATACGGGACGTGTACTTTTGTTTCGAAATACGGGACGATTCCGTATTTTAAGGGACGGTTGGCAACCCTATACATGCCACCCTTCTAGATCTGCTCCTGGAGAGAGACGGAGTGGAGGTGAGCTGTTGTGGGAGGAAATTGTTCTACTACTTTCCAGCCGTGTGCGTATCTGTGGGTGTCTCACACCTTGCAAGCAGCATAACTGAATGCTGAATGTGTCGGTGGTCTTGCAGAGCAGTGCAAAAGTCAAATCTGTTTCAGCTACGGCCACACGATGAAGGGACTTACAGTTATCTTGCTTTTGCTTGTAGCTATCATGGTATCTACAGCCGCTGTCCAAGGTAATGCATGGATTCTTCTATGGATGAATATTGAGTTCGTTTTTGCACGATTTCATGTTAGATTTGGATCATGCCGATGATAACACTGGAATCTTTTATCTTTATTTCAAGGTGGGATTTCAAGTTGTTGTCAGAGAACCTCGAACACCCAAATCCATCGAGACCTGCTGAAGAGTTACTACATCCAGCAGCCGCCGTCGTGTTCTATACCTGCAGTGGTGTAAGTCAGAAAAATGATCCAATATTAAAGTATCTTTAAGTTTTTCAAATGTTGAGCCCAAATTGTTCATGTATATTCTTCCCTTGCTGACTGTTAATTTTCTCTTTCTGTGATTTTCAACAGATTCACCACAATTAGTGGCAGGAGAATCTGCTCGGACAGTTCGAATACATGGACACAGACCAGCATGGCCTATCTCGATGGAAAAGACTGGCAAAAACGACAAAATCTACCGTTGCACCGAGATAATGCTGATGTCCAGGGTGCTTTTTGTGTTATGCCAGTGAAACAAATAGCTCTTTGTTCTATAAAGGATAATAAGTCAAACAAACATGGCTGAATTATTTAAAAAAAATTGGTACCACTAAATTGTTAAAAATTAAAAACATTGATTTTGCCTTTAACCCTTTAAAACCTGAATAATGAAATAATTGCCAGAAAATTTTCTTGCAGAGCAGTACAAAAGTCAAATCTGTTTCAGCTACGGCCACACGATGAAGGGACTTACAGTTATCTCACTTTTGCTTGTAGCTACAATGGTATCCAAAGCCGCTGCCTAAGGTAATGCATGGATTCTTCTATGGATGAATATTGAGTTCGTTTTTGCACGATTTCATGTTAGATTTGGATCAT